CATGACCCCTAGAGCCCCAGAGGGCATGCGTTACAGTGTGCTCTTTTAGTTTTGCCACCCGTGGATGGCTTAAGTATGGGACAGCTCAGTGGAGGGTCAGTGTGACAGCCTCTTGCACCCACACCTGGGACCTTGTCCAGCATCCAGGAGGAATCAGGTTGCATGAACGAATTAAAGATGGTAAATGCAGAGGATTTTATTGCCAATGAAAGTCATATTTTTTCCCATACCTGATGAGTCATTTTTTCTCTTACTTTTTTCAAGATTTTCTCTTTGTATTTGTATTTCAGTCATTGATTATGATGTGTCTAGATGTGAATTCTGATATGCTTATCCTATTTTGGGTTTGTAGAGCTTTTAATATTTGTAGACAGCCTTTCATCAAGTTTTGGAGGATTTTAGCTATTATTTTTTCACATAAATGATTTTCCCCTTCCTCTCTCTTTTTTACTTCTGGGACCCTTATTTCACATATGTTGGTAGGCTTAACATTGCCCCACATGCCTCTGATGCTATGCTTATTCAAAAAAAGGTCTGTACTTTTCAAATTGAGATGTTTCTACTGAACTATATTTCAGTTTACTGCTTCTTTCATCCCTAATCTCAAATTGGCTGTTGATACAACAAGCAAAATCTTCATATTGAAAATAGTTTTCAACTCTGGAATTTCTATTTGGTTCTTTTTCACTTCCAATATTTGGGTTCTATTTCTCTGTAAAGATTATTTATTGAATCACAGACATCATGCATTTTGTTAATTATTTGTTTGCCAAATACATCATCTAGATCTACTCTGAGTCAATTTCTTTTTTTCTTTTTATTTCTTTCTTTCTTTTCTTTATTTCTTTTTTTTTTCTTTTTTCTTTTTTTTGACACAGAGTTTCACTCTTGTTGCCCAGGCTGGAGTGCAATGGCACAATCTCAGTTCACTATAACCTCCGCCTCCCAGATTCAAGTGATTCTCCTGCCTCAGCCTCTCGAGTAGCTGGGATGACAGGTGCACGCCACCACGCTGGGCTAATTTTGTATTTTTAGTAGAGACAGGGTTTCTCCATATTGGTCAGGCTGGTCTCGAAATCCTCACCTCAGATGATCCACCCGCCTTGGCCTCCCAAAGTGCTGGGATTACAGCCTTGAGCCGCTGTGCCCGGCTGCTACTCTGAGTCAATTTCTATTGATTACTTTTTTTCCTAAGTATGGATCATACTTTCCTAATTATTTGCATGCTTAGTAATTGTTTTGCCCAAAAAGGGAAATTTTAGATAATATATTATGTCAACTCTGAATTCTGATTAATTTTTCTGAAGAGGAATACACCAACCTTTGTTGCTGTCCTCACCGACATCAACTCAGAGCGCCACTACTACGCTGCTTGACCTTCTGGGAGCTGGTGGAGCCTTCACAGCAGGAAACAATGGGTGCTCAGGATGCCACAGAAAGGGAGGAAGAGGAGGATGAGGGAGGCCAGACGTACCTGTCGCCCACAGAGCCTGCCCCATATGCCCAGATGTTTGCCCCAAAGACGCTGGTGCTGGTGTAGCGACTTGACCACACAGGTGTTCAGGAACGGCCTCTGCCTCATCTATGCCATCCACATGGAGGGCCTGAATGTGTTCCCAGGGAATGTAATTAGGAACCTGCTGACATGCACTGTGCCCCTGGCTGGGGGCTCGCAGAGGACGATCTCTTTGGGGGCTGGTGATTGGCAGGTCATCCAGACTCCACTGGCCGACTCACTGCCCATCAGCAGCTGCAGCGTGGCTCTGCTCTTCTGCCAGCTGGACATCACCAATGTGCTGTCTTTGTCCTGTGTCACCCTCACAGAGCACAAGGTTCTCTTCCTGTCCCCTAGCTACCAGCAGCTAGCTGATGCCTGCAGGGGCCTCCTAGCATTGCTGTTTCCTCTCAGATACAGCTTCACCTATGTGCCCATCCTGCCGGCCCAGCTGCTGGAGGTCCTCAGCACACCCATGCGCTTCATCATCGGGGTCAACGCGGCCCTCTAGGCAGAGACCAGGAGCTGCTAGATGTGATCGTTGCTGATCTGGATGGAGGGACAGTGACCATCCCTGAGTGTGTGTACATTCCACCCTTGCTAGAGCCACCGCAGAGTCAGACGCACAGTGTTCTGAGCATGGTCCTGGACCTGGAGCTGGAGTTGGTTGACCTTGCCCTCCCTCCACCCATGACGTCCCCCTCCTCCCTGAAGATGCAGGACAAAGAGCTGCATGCCATCTTCCGGTGGCTCTTCGATCGGCTGCTGCAGGGCTATCTCTGGTGCCTGCACGTCATGCGCATTCACCCGGAGCCTGTCGTCCACTTCCATAAGGCAGCCTTCCTGGGCCAGTGTGGGCTGGTGGAGGACGCTTTCCTGATGAAGGTGCTGGAGGGCATGGCTTTTGCTCTCTTCATGTTGGAGCGTGGGGTCCCGTACCGCCCCACGGAACTGTTTGATGAGCTGGTGGCCCACGAGGTGGCATGCAGGCGGGCGGATGAGAACCACCCCCAGTGTGTCCTGCGTCACATCCAGGAACTGGCGGAGCAGCTCTACAAGAACGAGAACCTGTACCCAGACTTGGCGATGCACAAGGTACAGAGGCGGGTGAGAGCAGCCATCTGCGATGGGCACCCCAGCCCTTCCCCTAGCTGGATGAGGGCACCATGCAGCGGATCGTGGACCAGGCTACTGCCAAGATGCAAGGGGCACACCTAGCCACGAAGGCTGAAGGGAGGACCACAGGGCCCTCAGGGCCCCGCATGACTGCCATACTGGAGTGGTGCAGAGGGCTGCAGGTCAACAGCGCTGGCCGGCTGGAGGTTGTGGGCAATTGCATCTCCCATGAGTTTGAGGGGAAGATGCTTGAGGCCAAGAAGCTGCTCCCAGCCGTGCTGAGGGCCCTGAAGAGGCGAGCTGCCCGCCGCTGCCTCGCCCAGGAGCTGCACCTGTATGTGCAGCAGAACTCGGCCGTCCTGGATAACCAGCAGTTTGACTTTGTCATCCATATGATGAACTGCTGCCTGCAGGACTGCACTTCTCTGGACGAGCATGACATCTTG